CACTCACCATGTCGTACACACAATAGGTGGGCATGCCATTGACGATCTTTTGGCAGTCACAACACTTACATGGGGAGACGGCGCTCCACACGCGGTTCCCTCCTCGCACTCTCTGGTTGTTGTAGTTGTAGTCCTCGGGCGAATCTACCGCCGCAAGCGCTCTGGATCCAGACCCTCCAACAAAGAGGACCTGGCCACCTAAGTCCTTCACCTCTGACCATTCATTCTTTTCCATGTCGGCCTCAAACACCTGCAGATTCATCGCCCAGTGATCAACCTCGATGGCTAACCGGGGAGTGATGCTCCACCGCACCATCAACGGATTTTCCTCATCAAAAGAAGTGACCAGGTGGAGATAATACGGTGGGAACGTTGCTGCTGCTGGCTGTTCCTTGATGACATGCTGAACGCGTCTCTGAAGTAGCCGTGTCTCCCAGACCAAATCATAGGCGAAAAGGTTCTCCGTCCGGCTGATGGAGAAGACCTTTCCATTCTAAACAAGTTTCCACGATTTATGCAACTCCCATATATCAGCCGGGCGGTGCCGTGATGGAATTCCGTACGTGTCTGAACGTGACTGCTTTGATCACGGCGACACACATATCTCGAGAACGTAAATTAACGGAATTGGTTCCTTTTTGTGCAGGAAAAAGAGGACGTGGACTTGTTGATTTTTTGTTTAAAGGGCACGTGGACTTGTATTTTTTTTTCTTTTTTTTGAGAATCGGACGTGGACTTGTTGATTGGATTGGAGCCACGCGCGCTGTGTACAACAAGCAGCATTAATCGGGGACAAATGCCTCAAAGTAACCAAAGCAAGCGATCTCAGCATCTTTCCTACTCCCTTCGTTCCAAAATAATTAAAGTTCTAGGATTATCTCACGTCAAACTTTTACAAGTCTGATCAAATCGATAGAAAAAACTGCTAAGATCTACAATATGAAATATATATATATATACCTGAATAATAACGCCCACGCGTGTGGCACTTACCAACATGTCCACACACAGTCGATGCCGTTCAATTTATTTGCATGGATTTTAAAGTAGTTGCCATCTGGGTGAAGAGCCACGTAAGCACACAACATCGTGTGAGCGTTATCATTTAGTGCCACACGTGCGGGCGCTCGTCGTCCGAACAGACACAGGACGCTCTTTTCGCCCACACAACGCTCGCACGATGATAGATGGGAACTACAATTGTGCATATGTCGCAACTGGTTACTCAAACACGACAACTATGATTGACCATACACAGCAACTATGGTTTGACCACACGTCGCAACTCAAACTAGTTACACATGGCAACTAAAGTTAATCACACATGTCAACTACAGTAATTAGACATGGCAACTACAGTGAACTACACATGGCAACTAAAGTTAATTACACACGTGTTCACGCTCACAGGGTGGGGATGAGCAGTTGCCACACAGGGTAGTGTGGGCCGTCATAACTGCGCCTGAACATGTAGGAAGTTTTAATGTTCGCCCATACAAAGTCGTCTGGGATGGCTCCTGGATACGACCGAGCGAGTGGTGTGATCAGATGTCCATTGTGTCACACGTATGGCAGTTATCGACGTCCATTATATAATGAATCTAATAATAAAGTAAATTTAGTTTCTTAGATTTTAATATACTCTTGAATATAATTGGTCTAACCAGGCAAAGTTTTACGTAGGACAAATATATGAAAGTTCAATTATTTTTGAAATGGAGAGAGTACGTAAAAAATGCCATGCAGAATACTCATCTAGCACAAGCAGAAGAGAGAAAAAAAACTCGGCTCCCCCTATACCATTCAGGTGAACAGGGAGACTGAAGTTAGGCACACAAACTGAACCAACTAGATAATGCCCCGCGCGTTACTATAGGATGGTAGTGTGACAAAGAGCTTAAAGGAGTTTAATTTAAAAAAAAGAGCTTAAAGGAGAAGGACACTTTAAGGATAGTGGGAAAAAAAAGAAAAAACTATAGAAGATGGCTTGCATAGAATGTAACAATGAAATCACCTTTCTCAGTATGATCAGTTTGTGACCAAACTTGTATTTTATCGGATGATCAAAAGTAGTATCGGAAGGGGAAGACAATGCAAGCTGATGTGCTGCTAATACAAACGTATTAGCAAATAATTTATTTCAGTAAATACAATAATAAGAGAATGGAAAGAAAGAAACAACATTTTCATTTGGAGAATCAGACATAATATATGCAAAGGTACATCTGCAATACAAATTGCTTATTTGCATTGAATGAATTCCTCACTTTAATCTTTCTCAGGCACATGACTTCAATCAACGTACAGTATATTAAGCACCCAGACTGCAAAAAGAATATGTGACTGTATGTGCTGAAAATAGTACAAAGGAAGCCAGGATATAATAAGGGCCGAGGTTGTAGGCTCTTTCTCCCAACTGCAACTGGATATGCAACAGAGCAATCAACCTGCGTAGTGAGGACTGTAGGTGGAGCATGCAGGCGTCGGCCAATCGGATTTTTGATCCGATTGGGTTGACATGATCCTTGGGCGAGGTGCACGGGAGATGCCGAGCAAAAGCTCCACACCTTGGCGCTGGCAGTGACCATGTTTGCGGATGTCGTGTCCCTCTTGGGGCGCCAAGCTTGCTGCCTTCTCTACCATTTGGCCTACACCCATGGTCAAAACCATCATCCTCTTAGGATGAATGCAGCAGTGGCGGCGCAGTGCATCGTGTCCCTTTTAGCGTCGTCGTCGTTAAGTATCCATTCCCGGGCCAGCCATCGATGACCCGCCGCAGCACCTCCATTCTTTCTTCTGCTTGCAGCCCGGCCCTAGCCAGGTCGTCAACAGGGATAACATCGTTGACCAGATCGGCGACGACTTCCTCCGAATATCCAACCACGAGAGATTTGCATAGCGCATCCAATGACGTAGGCGAAGCTGCCTCTGACACTCTGGCGATGGATGAGCCATCCTCATCTTCTTCCTCGTCCTCGGCGAGAGCCCAAAACCTCCCCCCGACACCCCGGCTGGCGGGAAGGTCCAGGTCACCGGTGGTAGGCAGCCGGGTCGCCCCCTGAGTCACCTCACTCTGGCGATGGATGAGCCATCCTCATCTTCTTCCTCATCCTCGGCGAGAGCCCAAAACCTCCCCCCGACACCCCGGCTGGCGGGAAGGTCCAGGTCACCGGTGGTAGGCAGCCGGGTCGCCCCCTGAGTCACCTCACTCATGGCCTGTCATTTTATAGAACTTGTATATATG